CTGCCAGGAGCCGACATAGGAGAGAGATCCTTGACAGTCCTAACACTGTCCTCCGCCTTGTCCTACACACTGTCTGCCAGGAGCCGACATAGGAGAGAGATCCCTGACAGTCCTGACACTGTCTTCGCACCTTTACCGACACCCTGTCTTCCATGACCTCGTTCCATGTCACGAAGATGACCGTTACTCCCACACTGTAACTCCCATACTTTAACATGGGTTTACGATAGTAGATCACTTTGTGGAACGGGACCCGAGAAAATAAGAGGGGAGAGGGTCCTTGACGGACGTGACACTGTTCTCCACTTTATCGCATGCACTGTCTATTAGGATCTAACAAACGTAGCAGGAACAGCGGTAGCCCTACGTACCTGACCGCTGTGAGTTCACGTTGCGAGATTTAATGTGTGTCACAGTTACCGGGAGAGAACTCGTGCAGACTTCCTTGCATCAAACTATGTCTATTTTCGTGTTTTGTGATGTACGAGATATTCATCTGTCTGTATTTGCTAAGTAATTGCTTTTCTCTTAACACTAACGGGGTTGAAGAGCAACATCAATAGGTAATAAAATGTGCTCAGTTATCCTTTTCTGTACTATTGAGTCGTAAGGAACATGTATGGATCCCATGTTGGAAGATGTAGCGACATGACAATATCAAGAGATTTTGTATCCATGTGCTGACAATTTTCATCAAGAATTGAAGCAATGGTTTGTCATGTCTTGGCAAGGGATTTTGGACGACAGTAACCCATGCTATCACTTTTTACGCGTGTTAACATAAAAGGTCAGAGTGATCTCCAGCCATACTGCATACCATATTATCTGTAACCTGATGTAATAAACACGAACAGGCTTGGAAAGAACAAGTTATGAGCTGGAGAGTCGTTATGTGACATTTAATGTTATCTGCATTTTATCTCCATGTATATGTATCCTCAGAGCATATCTGTCTTTACACCTAGCTGCTTGGAAATGGAGAGATTAAAACAACAAAAAACAGTTCAAAGTCTCGAAGAGTCCATTGTACGATTCCAACTGTTTAATGAGCATGTGCTTATGTCAAATTGTGACGACCTGAGATTTGCAAAGGCAAGTCAATTGTTCACCGGAACGAAACATAGAAGTCAAAATTGGGAATTGCATGAGACACCATATTTGTCGTTGATGCATTAAATTTGGAAATGTCCACACATGTCTACCATTAAGGTTTTGAAAGGTTTTCTGAGGTTTCACGGCTTGACCCTGATCATACAACTTAGAGCAAGAGTAGCATGGCGCTCTTTGAAATCTTCGTTGAAAGAGCATGGTCGTGCTGCTAACGTTGTGAAATGTAACACCAAGGTCTGGAGATGCTGGATTAATGATCGACATAATGTTGACTATTGTAAAGTTCAAGTTATCCCTCTTTAAATATATACACAAAGAAAAACGTAAAGCACACCCCTATTTCTGAACCATGACAAATGGCAAAAAATCATGGCATGGGATGACTGACCACAGGAGCTGGGCGATACCAATGTCATCGGATAGAACAAACATTTGACAACAAATAAAGAAGATATTGGTGAGTTGTGATTGATATTTATTGACTAAAACATCATGGTAACACAAGTACTGTTTTTGACCTTAAAATACCTATTAAAAAAGTATGGAGCTGCAGGATTAAGTAAACGAGTTCCGTTTGATATTTTATGTGAAAATGTTCTTTAAAGTCTCTACTTGACATGAGACGTGAAACAGATCAGTAGCGGGTATACCCACCACGTGCCTGGATGACGCATTCCACCCTACGTCTCATGCCTCCAGTCAGACGTCATGTGTCAACAACAACCACTCCTGTTGCAATGCTGCTTCCAATTGGCGTAAATCTTGTACAAGAGGATCTCGTGCCTGTATGCAACGCCCCAGAATATCTCAAACATGTTCAAGGGGGTTCAAATCTGCAATATTGCATTGGCCCTCATGTAATCCACGACTGCATGCGAACGATGAGGCCTGGCATTGTCATCCATGTACTGAGGTCGAGTAGCAAGAGGGTGGTTGTCAAAATGAGGAACGACGACTGGCCTCAAAACTTCCCGGATGTACTGAGCCCATGTTAAGTTGCCCCTTATCGTGAACAAATCCAACTGCAATCATGAGAGATACACCCCCAAACCATTACCGAGCCCCCGCCGTATGTAACAGTCGGTTTAATGTTCCTGGGGGTGTAGGCCGTGTTCCGGTGCCTCTAAACTCTCGTTCATCCATCAATGACGTGGAGCAGAAAGCGACTTTCGTCTGACCATTGGATCCGTCTCCAAGTTCTCGGATTCCAGTTCTGTCGCGCAATACACCATGCTAAACGAGCAGCTTTGTGGTGATCTCTCAACAAGGGACGCTTTATGACTCGTCTAGCCCTCAGTCCTGCTGCTTTCAGCCGGTTCCTGACGGATCTGGTGCTGAAACGGCGACATGATACCCCAAAATCCGACCAATGGCATCACAAGACATTCATGCGTAATGCATGCCGATTATTTGCCATCTTGTGGCGTTTGATAATCGCCTTCGTGCCATGGCCACACCTAACTGTTTAAAACCGAGCTTAAGAAAGCAATTTTAACGTCTGGATATACTGCTTTTAGAGATACTCGAGGGTAGCATGCTGCACGGGCATACCATGCATATCACGTGAGCTTTTGTCACGCATGACTGATTACATCATCTCGAGAAAACATAATTCTTCCCGTAATTTTATCTTTCATGACTGTTACAAATATTGGGACTAAACAATAATGAAATATATTAGGGTGTGCTTAACTTTTTTCTTTGTGTATACAGTTTTGTAGTTTAGTCGCTCAAGATCGCTATTCATAGATCTAAATATAAAACATATGAGGCGGTTTCCCTTGTATCTTTTATTTCTAGTTCATGCAGATAAATCAGTGGAAGAGACCTGGCTATTTGAACTTAGCTAATCGATATCAGATCATCGATATACCTGAAGCTTAAATTGAACTTAATAGCAGAAATTTCGATTCATGTGCATCAAGAAACAGACCCACAAGAAGGTTGGTTGGTTGGTTTGTTGGTAAACGCCGCACTCAGCAATATTACAGCTATATGGCGGCGGTCTGTAAATAATCGAGTCTGGACCAGACAATCCAGTGATTAATATCATGAGAATCGATCCACGCAATTGGGATCAATGACATGCATCAACCAAGTCAGCGAGCCTGACCACCCGATCCCGTTAGTCGCCTTTTACGACAAGCATAGTCACCTTTTACGGCAAGCATGGGTTGCTGAAGACCTATTCTACCCCGGAATCTTCACGGGTCCCCATAAGGAGGGGAGCACAATTAGTGCCTATGGGGATGCCAACTTCTTGTCTCAATGTCTTACCCCCAAAGTTTACATAGATGTTATCAATGAGTGTGTATGGTATTGCGCCACTTTTAGTAATATTCAAGCAACATCACGGCGGAAGACACCGGAAATGGGTTTTACACACTGGACCCATGTGGGAAATAGAACCCGGGCTTTCGGCGTGACGACCATACGCTTCAACCACAAGGCTACCCCACCGCCTTCATTGTCAACGACAAAAGACAAGCATTTCACATCGGTGAGCTTCAGATGCCATTTCATTCATGATCTTTGGTAATAAAGATGTAACTGTATCTTTAGTCTCAACGTAATATAATACTCCCATAATATTGAGCGTCAAGTGCTTCATCAAATCGGCACAGGTTAGGTTTCTCAAGGGAAGGCTCACTGAACGAGCTCTGCATCGAGTTTATATGCGGTGTCTTGAGAGGGTCAGCAACCCTTCGGGGTCCTTCGCTTTAAAGAGGTCGGCTGGCCTGAAAAGTGAAACAGAAGGCTTTCTGTTTGCTGTTCAGGACCAGTCGCTTCCCACTTGAAACCGTCACTATGTGATTATACATCAAAATGTAAATTTAATTAGACTGTCCAACATATTATCAGTGGATGCCCAGCTTTGGTACAAACACAGTACTATATATCTAAAGCGACATGTTGGAGTGGCTCGCTCAATTTATTACCGTCTTCGCCATGCTTGTGGTTTTGACACAGAGGTCCATTCATGGTACGACCCGGAATATGTAGAGGGCGTCATGGAAAATGATAAATACAAAATTCTTTGGAATAGGCCCGTGTACAGCCTCAGGCGTAACCATGTCAACAAACATCATCTTGTACTTTTTGATAAATCCAATGAAATCATTAAATTATATATTATTGAATTTTCTGTCCCTTTTGACACCAATGTGATTGACAAGATTCAGGACAAATATGGCAAGTATGCAGACCTCGCTTTCAAAATGTCACACTTGTTTTTTGACCGAGGACAGGGCAAATGCCTTTGTGTAAGTTAAAGCGCAGCGGAAATGGCATCATTTTAAATTCTTTGTACTCAACAATGTTCAGAGGTGGAAAGCATTATCTGAATACCCTATTGCAAGGACATTGCTGTCTGTTGTTATTAACACGGAAGTGACACTGGGAACTGTAGATGAAGATGTTATAGTGCAGTTATGAAATATGTAAGGTCAATGAGGAATCTGATCTTTCATACAAGTCGATCTATGTTGCCAGTTATATGATCACGACTATGTGAAGTAACCGTTATTTCTATTTTAAGCTCAATATGCAGTAACATGAATACCTTGGATTAACATTATGTAGACGTGTTCCATTTTGGATGTGATTCTTTAAAGCCAGTACTTACCTGTACTGGTGACAACAGCGTTCCCTCTGTTTGATAAAGAATATCTTACAGGATAGTTTCAAAGGAAATGTGTGTGACTCTGATACAATCTTTCCCTCTCTGCATGGTCAAATTTGGATTTGATGTGTCTGACTATGCATGAAGCACCATATTACCAGAGGCTCACCATGACACTTGTGTAGCACGCTCTTGCATGAATGAAAAGTTGAATGAATGAAAATAATTAAATCTCTTTTAATTTCCGAATGAAATCACAAAAAACATTAATTGTCTCGCATTTTATTGAGAAAATAGTTCCAAATTGTTATTTCAAATATGTTAATTTTTAATACGACACGATAGATGGGGGCGGGCGGTGCACATGTTTTGTAGTCACATATTATACATTACTATAACACATTAGGCAATGAATTTCGAAATGCAGTTGCAAAGTCAGGCCTCAAATGGTAAAATATGCCCCAGTTTAAGGAAATTATTGGTTTAAAATGACTGCGATGCAAGATGCCACTAAGATAAGACAAGCCAAGGGAAAATAAAGATTCATATTTCAAAAGCAAACGTTTAACTCGGGTTTACCTTACACAACTATAATCCTGTAAACACCATCTTGCTGAAAAAACTTTGACAGAATTCACAATATGCTAACTTTCCAGGTTATCCAATGAGACCTTACTCAAAACTACTCACTTACAAAATATTTTGCAAATATAAATCATGATATTAGATATTTCAACAGGTGCTGTCAAGCTTTCATTTACTCTTCTCTTAAAGCACAATCACCGTATGTGTAATATGCGCAACTGTAAAATGAAAATGCAACATAAATAAAAAGTTGGCAAAAATGATCCAGACATCATTAAGTTTAAAAAGCCTATCAACCAGCATCATTAATAATAAACGCATCAAAATTGTTAACGGAGTTAAGCGATGAAAGTCTTGTGTACGATATGTGTAGACATATACAGTTATCAAGATGACAACAATACACAAATTAGTATATGTCATTCATCATCAACGAAACAATATGCAACAGGACATAGCAGTAGACAGCCTTATATAACAATAACATATCAAATACTATAAAAACATAAGCAGCAACGTAAATACAAAATTAAGGTCAGAGAAATTACAAAATTCAAATGAATCATGGTAAGAAAGAAGCGGACAGAAAAGTGAGTAGACGAAAACATATACACGAAAAGAGAACACGGCATGATAAAAAACTTTGAGAAACATAAGGCAAATGCTTGATAATAATAATATATTATACATAGATACAGTTATGAATCATGCAAACTGCGTGCAATGGTGAAAGAAAATAGCTTGTTTTTGATGTTGCCTGGTAACAATTACAGCATCAAGTTGGCAATATGAGGTTACATTTTGATCAACGGTTATATTTAACAGTCAACCCCACGAAATATAATGGGACATTGTTAAAACAAGGTAATAACATTTGAACATATACCTATTATGTATATAACTATATGCGTCAAAACCCTTTCCATAATCATAAGACTAATAATAGTGCTAGCCCACCGAGATACCATGCAGTTTAACCTAAATACCTCACTCTGACACAGTATACTGACTTCGAGCCGACCAGTCCTTGTTGAATTCCCTTAATGCCGAATGCCAGGCAGTGTAACAACAAGTACCGTCTTTTAATGTCTTATGGTATGACGCGACGGGGGATCGAACATCTAACCTTCAGCTCTCTGAGCTTACGTGCTATCCACTAGACCACGAAAACGGTTTAACAATCTAGGAAAGCTGTTCGCTTCAAAACAATTGCGAACACAACTATAAAAGTAATTATCTATGCATGTAAGTGTTTGATGAATGTTGACCATGTATATTATCTCACAGTCAGCAATCATCCAGCTTTGGCAAGGCAGCGTGAGGATATTTGAGTTTTCACCAGGCAAATCAGTGCCTAAAACTTCCAAAATGAATCGGGATCAAGCTCACCAAAGTGAAATTATCGTTAAGACAAGTCGTTAAGAAGACAATGGTATCAGAACACAGCTCCAAAATCGCATGCATGGATAGGGATCCTCGGATTTATTTCAGCCTGGCTTTGGTTGTGCCTTGTGCAAATGAATCATTTAACTTCAAGTCATACTTTGTTTTGTGCTGATGTTGCTATCTTTGCAATTTTACTTTAGGCATGACATGTTTCATAAAGTCAAAGGTTTCATATTCTGCACAGGTATCATATCAATGTACATGAGGTTATGGTTGGTGCGGGCGTTCCACCTGCATTAACCCTGGGTGTTCAGATGCACCGAACGGTTCTTCATAGACGTGGTCTGGTGTGAGGCTGAGGTCTTCGTATATGCCCGTCGATGTCGTGGTGTTCTGGTAAATTTGGGGTGTTGAGTCCACGTCCTCGCCTTCCTCTTGTCTGCCAAGATTGACGCATTCAAGATCATCCGCAGTGGTCTCCCCTTGTCTGACTCTACGCCTCCTACAATCAAATATGAGCAAACGGTCTAATACAACATGGGTCTTGTCTTGAAGGACTGTGACCACCTAGGTCCTGATTTACGTGACAACATACAACGAAGGCATATCTTAGCATCGCTACATTGCACGGTCTCTACGTCGACATACACGTCCAGGTGTCTGATTATGTAAACCAACCATATCAGAATACAATTTTCTTCAAATTTCTTAGAATGGCAGTGAACAAGTAAATTAAAAGCAACAAAGCCTTTACATATTCATATTCCACACACAAGAAGATCTGTTTGAAAGTCTCACCCGAATGTCATGTTATATAATATCAAATCTTTCAACACAAGTTGATAAAACCCCGAGGCTTCCCCACGTTTCTACGAAGACACGAGGTTAAGAAGCAATGTATCACCCAAAACAGTTTGTAAATAGCGTGAGTGTCTTGAGCTTACAGAGTTCAGTGAGCATGTGATTTGATTGTGGCGTCAAGGTACCCGATGAACTCTCAATGGTCTGCAAAGCATTCTTATGCCATTTCATTGTAGCATATTTGCTAGGATTTTTCCTTGGGCATAAAGTCAGATCTCCTCTGAGCAATATGACCCGTGGAAGACATGTTTTGATGATTAAAGTCCCTTTGTATTGTGAAATGGCTAAAAGGGTCCAATATGTTGGCACTTGGTGTGTAATGTTTCACATGTCGTTACATTATATTGCTGTTTTCTGTACAGGTGTAGACGTAAGTGTTAATACGTGGCCGTTTGTTTACGACGTGGTTGCACTTTGATCCTGTATGTGTGATGGCGGTTGCGCATGGTATCAACAATTCTCAAAACAGATAAAGTTCAATAAACCCACCAATCTAACCTTTTCTAGACAAACATTTAGTCTATGAAAACTTATATTACACAATATCCTTCTTGACTCTATAAAATATAAAAATTCCCAATGCTGATTTCATATAGAATATTCATATGGAATAGAGCTAGCTAGATCTGACTAGACTTGCTTTTGTATGCGTTTCTAGATTATTTTTTTTCATAAAATAAATATATTCCACAGTCATGGTGCAGGACTAAATATTTTCATGAACAATTACCTAAACAAATAGGATTTTTTAAACATTTTTTGTGTGTTCTTTAACGACGCCTTCGGCAATATTCCAGCTATATATGACGGTGCTCTGTAAATAATCGAGTCTGGACCAGAAAATCCAGTGATTGACATCATGATCATCGATCTATGCAATTAGGATACGATGACATGAATCAACCAAGTCAGCGAGCCTGACTACCCGATCCCGTTAGTCGCCTTTAACGACAAGCATGGTCGCCTTTAACGACAAGCATGGGTTGCTGAAGACTTATTCTAACCCGGATCTTCACGGGTAACATATATGAACATTATTTGATCAATGATCTTGATGCATGTTGGAATACATATTCATCTATCCGATATCTACGATAAACGCCTAAGTGTTGTAAACAAATCAAAACGTCAGCACCAGAGAATAATCATTCATGGTTATGTGTTGAGGCAGATTCCATTTGGCCTAAGAGGGCAAAATACTGATGAAAAATATTTGAATAGATCACTTAAAATCAGTCATGACACCAGGTGTTCGACATTTATGTTGATGTGTTCAGATTATACCAATGCTAAAACGCCTGTTATGTAAACAAGACTCAATCATGTATTGTCATCAGGGGATGATATATCCCCCGATCTGGTGCAATTCGGTAAAGGAGGAGGGCACGGATGGCCCAGTCGTCTAAGGCACCGCGATTCGCTGTAACACGTCCCATTTTAATTCTGGAAACCCAAAAGTCCAGAAACTCTACGCTCTTTGCCCAGTCTCGGTTAAAGGTATTTACAAAGTTAAACATGCCGTTTTCATGGGAACATACCGAGGAAGAAAAAATGAAAAAAAAATTGTTTAAAAACTCAATATTTAGACTATGTCGCCCATGGGCCTGCCCATGGGCGAAGTCTGGCCCATGGGTAGGCCCATGGGCAGGCCCATGGGCGAGAATATGTTCCTTTACTTAAAACTCATGTTTTTGTTTCGCAAATACATTTAATGTATTCATTCAAGTATCATGACACAAAATTTAACTCATTTTAACTTAATTCAACGATGTTATAGCGATATTGAAATATTTCGCCCATGGGCGAGAAAAAGGTTTGGCCCATGGGCGAGAATATGTTCCTGTACTTAAAACTCATGATTTTGTTTCGCAAATACATTAAATGTATTCATTGAAGTATCATGACACAAAATGTAATGAAAAAATGAAAAGTAAAATGTTCCAAAACTCAATATTTAGACTATGTCGCCCATGGGCCTGCCCATGGGCGAAGTCTGGCCCATGGGTAGGCCCATGGGCGAGAATATGTTCCTTTACTCAAAACTCATGTTTTTGTTTCGCAAATACATTAAATGTATTTATTTAAGTATCATGACACAAAATTTAACTCATTTTAACTTAATTCAACGATTTTATAGCGATATTGAAATATTTCGCCCATGGGCGAGAAAAGGGTTTGGCCCATGGGCGAGAATATTTTCCTTTACTTAAAACTTATGTTTTTGTTTCGCAAATACATGCAGGTGTTCTTACTATTTTCATGGCACATAATGTAACCCAATTTTACTCAATTCAGCTATTTTACAGATTTATTGAAATATTTCGCCCATGGGCGAGAAAAGGTTTTGCCTTCGAAATCCTTGATTATTATATCATGCCAGAGTTCTGAAATTCAGTGACAATGTTGCTGAACAGTAGAATCTGATGGACGTATTGTGCAGAACCTGTTTGACACTATGGGTTCCAGGACCACTAACACTCTGAGCTGAAAAAGTTTGGTTCAACCGCACCCAACATCTTTAATGAACCCGGCCTTATCTCTCAAAACGTTTTGGCAGTTTATCATACGAATTCATGTGCGTGTACAACATTAAATTTTAGTTAGTTTCTATTTCATTTCCCATTTTATGACCCGTTGATACATCACACTGTGCAATTACGTGACAGGTACGCGTGCGCGTATTTTAAAGGAAAGAAACTATTCGTCTTTTATTGCAAAACGTTTGGCTGAATATCTTACATTCTAACGAAATCTCGAAATAATTATTTAATTACAAGCAGTGTCGAACTGACCAGTAGGAATTATGTTTCAATGCGATTGAGGAAAACGTGAGTGAATATTGTGACACTAAAGCAACTTTTAACTGCATTGTCACTTTTGGTATGAAAATGGTAATAGTTAAGAAAAACGTAACAGCCTTCTTATGATAATTCTCATATTCTCATTAGAACGTTGTGTCTAATTACAGTGTCGGCCTTATTTACAGGTGATTCTACAATACTTGTTGTCGGTCAATTACAATCTGCCACACCACGCGTGAATAAACAGTTATGCAGGTGTTGCTGTGGGCAAATACCTAGCCTGTACATGTATATTTTTGTGGATACATATATTACATATTTTCGTTGATATGTGGATATATTAAGCACCAAGACACAAAAAGTTTATGAAAGATGAATTTGTGCCTTGATATATATATTCAACGCGAACGAATCTTGTATTTTCTCCGCGATCCTGATGTGTATCATCGTTTAATTGGTCATTCATTAAAAGTATGTTGTGAGGCGATATCAAAGGAGACGCTCAATATACACAGTGTCGTCCGTTTCGCGTGAACTACCACCCTACCCTTGCAGTAAGAGTTATGTAATCGGTTCACAAATATATTTGGTGCGATGTCAGTGTGGAAGGAGTTTGAATTACGTCCGCCAGTGGCCACAGAGAGTATAGTACCAATCAACAAGGCCAATGCCGTACTAATAACCTAGTGACTCACGTAACAACGGCTGTCAATATGTCTGCTACATCTACCATACCATCATCCCTGTCACAACTGGCGTATTAACGGCTTATTCAAAATATTAATTGTAGAAATGTCGTTACCAGACTAACGTACGTCGTATTCAGTCCTCAACTGGATGTTACATTCCTTATATCAGTCAACAGCCCTGTTTGTGAAAATATTTACTAGACATAAGATTTAAAGACTAATAAAATCAATTGTAAGACCGCATAGACCATAAAACCGAATAAAATATGTCTTGGTATCATCTCTTGTGTATTAGATGATGGCAATGACCGGAAATGTTATAACGTTAGATTAAGAAGGAGAAACATTAAAGTGTTTTACAATACTTGGAAACATGAGCAATAAGATGTAGCAACATAAACATGCATGGAATAGGGAAAAAGGATGAAAACAAATTGAAAAGGATTTTAATACAAAATTATCGAACTAAATAACTTGCCTGAACAGAAGGGGTACCCAAACTTGTTTGACAGTTATTCGTGTGTTGTAGACTGTCGAATGGGACTCATGTGTGTACGTAGGGTACGCATATCTATTGCAAGTTTTAGTACTCATACACTTTCTCTTTTTGTGTTTTGTTTGTTTGTTAGTTGTATAACGCCACACTTAGCAATATTCCAGCTGTATGACGGCGATCTGTAAATAATCGAGTCTGGACCAGACAATCCAGTGATTGACATCATGTGCATCGATCCACGCAATTGGGATACGATGACATGCATCAACCAAGTCAGCGAGCCTGACCACCCGATCCCGGTAGTCGCTTCTTACGACAAGCGCTGTCGCCCTTTTACGCCAAGAATGGTTTGTTGAAGATCTTCACGGGTCTATTGAATGCAGGGATTTGTGTAAAGTCATTCAGACAGCATACAATGCCAACTAAAAAATTATACTCAGTGTCTCCGCAAAGTAATATAGTACGGTACTTAGAGTACATGTAAGATTATACTCAGATTAGGGAGATGTTTAATCCATATAACGTGTTATTATTCTACCTAACAATGTATTTAATGAAATGAATGCAAAACAAACTCAACGGCTAAAAGGTTTCATTGAAAAAAATACCCCTAGTCTTGACTAATAAAACAACTGCAACCCGACACAGATTAAAC